GTACAATATTTTTCATATATTTTATTTTTGAGATATTTATTATGTCCATAAAAATAAGAAATAGGAAAGCCAAGACAAAAAATTATTCGTTCAATCCAACACTAACAGACTACACAATAAAAATTCACCTTCACCTTTGCCTCCACCTCCACCAAGCAACAAGACGTGTGCACGTGCGCGCGCGCACACACACACACACACTTTATTTGGATAGTTATGTATTTTTAAACAAAGTAGAGATCACATGAATTTTTTTTAACTTTCATCATTTTTTATGAACTAAAATTAATTATTGGGGTTAATTGCAAAATATTCAAACTTAAAAGAGAAAATTTGTTGAAATTAAAATTTGAAGGAGTTAATTGCTAACTACTCAAAATTGAAGGGATTGTTTGTAATTAACCAAACCTCCTTCATTTGCGGTGTGGGCTATTTCTTGGAGTGAAATGATTCCTAATCCTCTCACAATGTTTTTTCAGCAAACAATGTTTAAGAAGACAAACCAAACAAAATGGTTTAAGAAAGTCCAAGTCAAGGTCACCAGTCAATAGTCATAAAGACGATTATACAATGCTTTTGGATGGTGATTATTTCAACCTTATTAATAGGTTATGAATCTGAGTCTTTTCAATAACAACCATGACTATTTCTTTTTTTTTTAATTTTTTTTATAGTTAAAACAAAAAAATTTGGAAAGATATAAGTTTTCATAATTGTATAATAGAATGAGCAATGAAAAATTAAATTTGATAAATTTCAAATGATATTTAATTTAAATACATAATGTGTTTTATTAATTTTTGTATATGAAAACTAATCATGTGCAACGCACGTGTTACATTGCTAATAAACTAAAAAATAAAGTGAGACCCGCGACAAAACTCCTAAAAATTGAAAGAAAAGCTCAAAAAATCAGTTTATTGAATTAGCCTAAATAAAATTTTTTGGGTCCAAAAAACTGTTGCATAAGCTAGTAAAAAAATCATGGTCTAAATGAACCTTACTTATTTTATTCCAAAATCTTTAAAAACTATCTATTTAAACGAGTTCCAAATAGGTCCAATGAATGAGTGTATGTATGTGTGTCTCAAGAGAGAGAAAGAGGGGGAGGGACAGAGAAAAGAGTACTTGACCTTATTTATGTGCGGTGCATAATGTTTTCAAGAACTAAATATATAATTTATATTACTATTACTTAATTAATGATGTGAAAAAATAATATGATTTCAACGAATAAGTCCAATTATATAATGGACCATATCAAGGGCCACATCATTAAGTGAATAAATTCGGTCAAGTTTTTGGATCATAAAATCATGTAGTCGTCTTCTTGTAATCAATGCATGGGATTAACGGCAATTCTACGGGATCATTTACCTCGTAAGGGCTATTTTTGGTTATCTTTTATTTATGGAGATGCATGTTGTTCCTGGTACATATATGGACTACATTGGACATTAGGACATTATTTCTGCATTGTCCTGTTTGCATGTGGTCTAGTTTAAGTTCCTGCACAAAATTGAGAAGAAAAAAAAAACTTCAAAAGTAAATCCAAACTCTTTTCAAAGTTAATGAGTGTTTATGGTGTTATTTTTTTTTTTTGGATCAATGTTTATGGTGTTTACTCAAATATTAATAACCAAACAAGTTAAGAACCTATAGAGTTGGGTGTTGTTTGATAAACATGGAAATTAAATATTGAAAATTAAATGGTGAATGTTTTAATAAAAAAAAATTGTGTGTCAATAAAAATAAGGAAATAGGAAGTTAAGACAAAGAGACATCCGTTCAATCCAACACTAACAGACTTCACAATAAATGTTCGTCTTCACCTTTGCATCCACCTCCACCAAGCAACAAGACGTGTTTACGTGTGCGCACACGCACAAGCACACACACTTTTTCAGATCACGTGAATTTTTATGTCTAACTTTCATCATTTTATATGGTCTAAATTTAATTGTTGGAGTTAATTGCAAAATATTCAAACTTAAGAGCAAATTTGTTGAAATTAAAATTTTAAAGAGTTAATAGCAAACTACTCAAAATTTAAGGGATTATTTTGTAATTAAACAACATCCTTCATCTACGGTGTTTGCGATGTCTTGGGGTAACATGATTCCTCTCGGTATTTTTTCAGCAAACAGTGTTTAAGAAGAAAAACCAAACAAAATGCTTGAAGAAAATCCAAGTCAAGGTAACCGGTCAATAGTTATAAACATGATTACACAATGCTTTTGGATGGTGAGTATTTCAACCTTATTAATAGGTTATGAATCTAAGTCTTTCCAGTAACAAAGACTTCAATAATACATCCAAAAATTCTTCTTAATTACGAGTTCCATTATTAAGAGCATTTTAATCATATAACTAGGGCAAGGTGACAGGTCAACCTAAAATATGAAACTTTCAATCCGAACTCAACCTTGTTCTCTACCGAGCAACTCCAGTTTGAACCAACCCATGATGAACTTTTTCAACTCGAGTCGAGATTGAGTTACACAATTTGATTTGAAATTGAGTTTTTCATTAATCAAAATTAAATTGAGTCAAAAATAAGATTCAATTCTATGTTCAATATCGAAATTAATCCTAAATTCTATAACTCCCATTAATCAAAGGTAATCAGAAAATAGAAAAAAATAAATTTCACATTTACAATAGGCTTAAATATTTTATATGTGTGTATGTGTGATTTTTTGTTTTGGAATTTCAAGTTGCAATCGGGTTGAATTTCTAAATTTGAATTGGGTTCGGGTCAAACCCATCAATTCAAAATCTCAACCCGAGTATTTCCCAAATTTGATTCATGTTAGAGAATTTTTGCCCAACACCAATCCAAGTATTGAAAATTTTGAGTTGATCCCGAATTAAACTCTGGTTAGCGCACCCAAGTTTCACCGTGGGAGATAAAACTAAAATAATTCTGTAGAAAAAAAATGGAGAGAGTAATGCAAGTCAAGATCAACTGCATCCCACGATGTAGAAAAAGCATACCTCCAAAAGTCCAGTTTTTTGATCGGCTAACTGAGTAATCATGCAAGCCTTCTGGCCTTTTTAAAAGCATGAGGAAATTCTTCCATTTTTTGTTAAGCACTTGCTTTGTGTTCAATCTAGCACACCATTATGGGCACTTCTATTCCACCTTTGGCGCTTCTTATGTTTTTGCTCATTGTAGTGGGCAATTCAAACTCAAACATCATTTTCCATGAGAAAGAGAGAACAACCCTTCTCAACTTCAGAAATAGTCTCACAGATCCAGAAGACAAGCTTTCATCTTGGTCAGTCCAAGAAAATTGTTGTCAATAAACAGGAGTCCGCTGAGATAATGTTACAGGTCGAGTCATTGAGCTCGACCTCCGTGATATGCAGCTGTAGGACAAGATTAATTATTCTTTGCTCGAATTATAAGTTCTGAGTCACTTGGACCTGACCTTTAACTCCTTCGGAGATTACAATCATATTCCAAGTTTTTTGTGTTCCATGAAAAGTCTAACATATTTGGGGCTGGCTTACAATGAATTTGTTAGGTTGGTTCCTCATCAACTAGGAAATCTCTCAAGGCTACTTTATCTTGATTTAGGATACAATAATGAACTATTCATGGATGATCTAAGTTGGATTTCTGGCCTTCATTCTTTGAAGTATCTTGACATGAGTGGAGTCGATCTTAGCAAGACAGTCAATTGGCTTCAAGAAATGAATAAGCTTCCTTCTCTTTCATATCTGTACTTGTCCTCTTGTGGACTTGAAAGTATGTACCCATCCCTCAGTTATATCAATTTCACATCTCTTACTTGCCTTGGTCTTTCCGAGAACCTTTTCAAGCATGAAGTACCTAATTGGTTGGGCAATCTCAGTACTAACCTCAGAGATCTCCAGCCACCAAAAAATGCTTTACAAGGTCAAATACCAGTTGCCTTGTCGAATATTCACAGCTTGAGGTATCTAGATCTGAATAACAATCAACTTACTAGGCAAATCACAGAGTCACTGGGGCAACTTCAACACCTACAAGAACTTGTGCTTTCAAGTAACTCGTTTTATGGTCCTATTCCTGCATCTCTCGGTAACCTATCGTCTCTGACTGTGTTATTTCTTCCTTTTAATAAATTGAGCGGCAGTCTTCCAAATAATTGGGGCTTCTCTCAAATTTAGAGCAGTTATTCATTGAACAAAATTCAACAGCTGGCATTGTTTCAGAAGTGTATTTTGCTAAGCTCTCAAAGTTAAAGAAGTTAGTTATCTCTCAGAACCCTCTTTCCTTCAATGTAGGCCCCAATTGGATTCCTCCTTTTCAACTCATATTTATTGATATGAGTATTTGTAAGGTGGGTCCGAAATTCCCAGTATGGCAACAAACACAAAAAATTGTTAACGAGCTTATCATGTCAAACTCATAAATTTCTGTGGTAGCTCCTAATTGGTTATGGAATTGGATTTCACATGTTGAAGTGGTTGACCTCTGTGGAAACCAGATTCATGGTGAGATATCTACACTTTCACTAAATTCTAGTTTCATCGATTTAAGTTCTAATAATCGCTTCAATAGTCAACTACCACATCTGTCAATAAATGTTAAAATGTTGGTTATTGCAAATAACACTTTTTACGGCAACGTTTCATCTTTCCTATGCAGTAAGGCGAATAGCAAAAATAACTTGATGGTCCTAGATGTATCAAATAACCTTTTATCCGGTAACCTTTCTTCTTGTTGGGTTTACTAGCAATCTTTGGTCCATGTAAACTTGGGAAACAATATCCTATCAAATGAAATTCCAAGCTCAATGGGTTCTTTATCTGAGCTCAAATCATTGCGCTTACAAGAAAATAGTTTCTTTAGACATGTACCCTTGTCATTGTTTAATTGCATATCTTTGGAGCTGATTGATTTTGGTGAAAACCAGTTTATAGGAGCCATACCAAGTTGGATGGGTAAAATGACAAATTCATTAGTTCTCTGTTTGAGATCTAATAAATTTAATGGTAATATTCCGACACAAATTTGTCAACTTTCTACTATCCTAATACTAGACCTTGTGGATAATAATATATCAGGTTTGGTACCAAAATGTTTGAATAATTTCACATTGATGGCTACGGTAGACATTCGACAAAATGTTTTTTATGAGGCCTTTGAATATTCCTACAACTATGGATCATACATAGAAAATGTTATGTTGGTTACAAAAGGGAGGCAATTAGGGTATGGGTGCAATCTTAAACTTGTGAGGAGCATAGATCTTTCAAGCAATAACTTATTTGGATCCATTCCTGTTGAGCTATTTGGTCTTTTTGGATTGCGTTTTTTAAATGTGTCTCATAATTGCTTGGTTGGAGAGATACTGGAGAATATTAGCGGAATGACAACACTGGAATGTTTGGATCTCTCGAAAAATGATCTTTCTGGCAAAATTCCACAAAGCATGTCCAATTTGACATCTCTTAATTGTTTAAACTTGTCATACAATTACTTGTTGGGAAGTACACCTTCAAGCACCCAACTTCAGAGCCTTAGCAAAGACAGCTTCATTGGAAATGCTAAACTTTGTGGTGCGCCTCTTAGGATAAATTGCACCAAAGACGAGGAATCTCATGGTTCAACACCTGTTCACAAAAATGGAGATGAGTCTTAGATGTTTTGGTTCTATATGTTGTAAAATTTCAATTCAAGAATGCTAAAAAATCATATGATAAACAAGACAATAAAACTTATCGATAGAGGCGTGTAGTCACTGTCCTTAAGAATAGATTTTCGCTCTTCTGAGTATGAAACCCGATGCAACAGCTTATGGCGTTCTATCCTCCAAGATTCAACTATCGTTTCTCCACAAGCGTGCACTCGCAAATGTAGAGGTGTCTCGAATAACTCTTGATTATTCCCAAATGAATACCAAAAACTCAAATAATAATATATTTGAACAATTCAATGAAACCCACTGTGTATGAAAATCAAATACACACGAAAATCCACCGGACCGTAGGCTTTTGTTTTTTTCTTCGCTTTGCTTTATGTTTCAGACAGTAGGCTTTCTATTTTTTTTTCCTTCCTGGCTTTTCCTTTCTGCACTTTGTACACAAAGCCGTCAAAGGCTTTAAATATTAATTGAAGAGTCATATGACACAGGATGCAATGGTTGGTCCAACGATCAATTATAATTTCAATGATTATTGACCAACGGTCAAAAATTTTGAAAATAATATAATTAATTGATTCAATATCAATAATAAAACAAATGGTCATAACGTGTACTATTCAGATCATCCAATAGGTCTAAAAATAATTTTTAAATATATATATATATATATATATTTATTTATTTATTTATTTAATAATATTATTATTTTTTTAACTTATATTTCTATACACATATATTATAAATAAATAAATATATATTATATTTTGAAATATATATTAAATACAACAATCCCCCACATATTTCAAAATATAACGTATATATAAAATAACAACTTTGATTTGGGAACACGAGCATCTAATGCATTGTGGTGGTGTCTTTTGAATTATGAACCATCACTTAGGGAAAACAAGGCAGAACTTACAGAAATCTAGTGAAATATAAATTTTCTATGAACTAGATTTTTTTAGTGTAAATTGACTACACTCATCACCCACATTAGACCCTGTAATCTGAGTTTGTTCATTGCGTGTTGGTGCGAATAGGTCATGCACCCTAACTAGATATTCATAGATGCTCTAGAAAACCTGCTCAAGTTATCATAGGAAGCAACCCCACTCCCACATCTATATAGGTGAATCCATCAAGTGTATTCTGCAACTAGATACACTACTTAATCTAGGCTATGGATCCATTAAGAGATAAACTCAACCTTATATATTACAGTATATTTACTATCTACACCATAAGGATGGACTTTAAATATTAATTAAATTATGATAGTCTTACAAATCACCCAATGACTTGTTATTACCCTTATAAACTTACTTCCTAGGATCTCCATTCATGTAAGTTGGGTTACCATCATTTGAGATTTCTATATAGGCATAAGTCTCATCCCCCTCGATGTCTCATTCACTAGTTTTCTTCCTAGTGGTTTTGTCAGAGGATCGGCCAAATTCATCTCTGACCTCACAAAGTCTAGGGATATTATCCCATCATTAAGCAGCTACCTCACAATATTATGCTTTAAGCTAATATGCCTATTTTTACCATTATAGGTTTTATTTTTTGCCCTTGCTATTGCAGCGTGGCAATCACAATGTATAGACACAGATGGAACTGGCCTTATCCATAAAGGGATATCCGCTAAGAGGTTTCTTAACCACTCAGCCTCAGTGTCAGCCTTCTCTAAAGCAATAAACTCGGACTCCATAGTAGACCGAGTTGTACACGTCTGCTTGGAAGATTTCCAAGACACTGCGCCCCCGCCAAGGGTGAACACATAACCACTTGTGGATTTCGTCTCGTCTGAATCAGAGATCCAGTTAGCTTCACTATACCCTTCTAGTACAGTAGGAAATCCACTATATGATAAACCATAACTAGAAGTCCCTTTCATGTATTTCAACAATCTAGATATAGCATTTCAATGTTCTTTATTAGGGTTATGTGTATATCTACTTAACCTACCAATATCATATGCAATATCAGGACGTGTATAATTCATAAGATACATTAAACTTCCAATTATTTGTGCATAATCTTTTGACACATAAGATCACCTTTATTTTTCTTTTGTTTAACGCTAGAATCATAAGGTGTAGAAACAGGCTTATGATCAAAATGATTAAACTTTCTAAGTATCTTATCTACATGGTGTTCTTGAGACAACATCAAACTATTTGGGGTTCTCAAAATTTTAATTCCTAAGATTACATCTGCCTCCCCCATATCTTTCATGTCAAACTTAGACATTAAAAACTTTTTAGTATTGGTAACAATTCTAGACTTGTACCCATTATAAGCATATCATCAACATATAAACAAATAATAACACCAGAATTATCACAAAACTTACAATAAACACATCTGTCAGCATCATTAATTTTGAAACCATTTGACACTAACACATTATCAAATTTCTCATGTCATTGTTTCGGTGTTTGTTTTAAACCATATAATGATTTAATCAATTTACATACCATATGTTTTTTACTTGGTACAATAGATCCTTCCGGTTGTTCCATATATATTTCCTCCTCCAAGTCTCCATTCAAGAATGTCGTTTTCACATCCATTTGATAAATTACTAGTTTATAAATAGAAGCTATAGCAATCAAAACCATAATAGATGTTATTCTTGTAACCGATGAACAAGTATCAAAATAATCAACATCTTTCTTTTATTTATAACCTTTGGCTACTAGTCGGGCTTTGTGCTTATCAACGGTGCCATCAATTTTTAATTTTCTTTTAAAAATCCATTTGCACCCAATAGGTTTTGCACCAGGAGGTAACTCTACTAATTCCCAAGTATGATTAGACATAATGGAATCTAACTCATCTTTAATTGATGCTTTCCAAAAAGAGCATATTGTGACCTAATAGCTTCCTCGTATGTTTGTCGGTCATTATCAATTAAAAATGTAAAAAATCCATCTCCTAAGTTAATCTTCTTCCTTACTCTTTTACTCCTTCTTGGTTCAAGTACTTCTTCCCTAGAGGTATCATATTTGGGTTCATCACTAACATGAATTAATTTACTCTCATTTGATACCTTATTTTTCATAGGAAAAATATTCTCAAAGAATATAACATTTTTTGCCTCAATGATTGTGTTAGGTTATAATATGTTACGCTCACTTTTTATCACTAGAAACCTATATGAAGTACTATTAATTGAATAACCTATAAAAACACAATCTGAAGGTTTAGAACCTAATTTTCTCTTCTTAGGTTCCGGTAACATAACTTTTGCTAAACACCCCCACACTTTTAAATATTTTAAGGATAGTGGATGCCCTACCCAAAGTTCATATAGAGTTTTTCCTATTTTCTTATGTGGAATTCTATTTTGAATATGACATGCTGATAGAATACCTTCTCCCCATTAATTATTCGGCAGTCCCGAACTTATTAACATAGAATTCATCATTTCTTTTAAATTTCTATTTTTTCTTTCGGCTACACCATTAGATTCAGATGAGTAGGGAGGAGTAACTTCATGTATAATACCATGCTGCTCACAATAGTCATTAAAAGGATTAGATTCATATTCTCCTCCCCTATCAGTCCTCAACCTTTTTATTTTTCTATTCAGTTGATTTTCAACTTCTAGTTTATACTTGATAAACATTTCACTTGCTTCATCCTTATTTCTCAACAAATATAATTTAGCATACCTCGAATAATCATCAATAAAAGTAACATAATATCTTTTTCCACCTCTTGTCATGGTATTCTTAAGATCACCTAAATCACTATGTATCAAGCTTAATAATTCAGTTTCTCTTTCAACCGTTTTAGAAGACTTCTTAGTGATTTTAGATTCAACACAAACTTCACATTTATCAACATTCAAATTCAAAAGATTTGAGATGAGACCTAATTCTCTCATTTTCTTGATATAAGTAAAATTCACATGACCTAATCTACCATGCCACATATCAAGAGAGTCAAGCACACAGGCAAAAGAACTAGACTTATTCTCCGTCATAACTTCAGCAACATTTAGTACATAAAGACCCTTATTACAGTAACCTTTCCCAACAAATGTCTCATTCTTGGTCATAATGATCTTATCACTCTCAAATGTTACTTTCACTCCCACTTTATTCAGGACAGATACCGACACCAAGTTCCAACGAATATTAGGCACGTGGAGCACTTTAGATAATGAGAGGATCTTTCCAGAAGTCAATTTTAATAACACATTTCCCTTACCTAAAACAAACAAGGGTCTAAAGTCACCCACAAACACTTGTTCCTCTCCATCCTCCACAGGTGTGTAGGAGGTAAAAGCACTTCTATTGCCACATATATGCTTGCTAGCCCTAGAATCTATCAACCAATCTTTTGTAGTAGCAGCCACGTTAACCTCGGATACGACCGCAACAATAATATCATCCACCTCAACCAAATTGACATTCAGCTTGGTAGGTTTGTTGTTCCGTTTTCAGTGTCGGCATTCTTGAGCATAATGTCCTGCTTTTCCACAAACAAAACAATTACCTTTCTTCTTAAAACTAGAACCTTGAGCCTTATAAAGATTTTTTCCATTATGATTCTTTTTCTTATGCTTATATTGAGGCTTATTCGTAGTCTCCACAACATTGGCCTTAGAACATTTTCCTTTGCCTTTTCAATTTTATCCTTCATATAATTTTTCGCCTTAATCCTAATATGGATAATCACATCTTCCAAAGACATATCCTTCTTTTATGTTTAAAGATTATTCTTGTAAACTTTTCAAGAATCGGGTAATTTTGTCAATCAAAGCACCGGCTACAAATGACTCAGGCAAAGTAATTTTTTCATTCCTCAACTCATGAATTTGAGAAGACACATCCTTCTCCTCAACCATGTTATAATCTAAGAAATTTTCTATTGCATATTTTTTAATCCCCGCATCTTCAATAATGTACTTTTTCACCAACCTATCTCAAATCTCCCTAGCATGCTTATAATGATAATAAACATCAAACAATTCATTTAAT